GACATTCATGACCCTTGAGGTTCCTTCCAACCCTGGCCATTCTGTGATTCTGTGAAAGAGAACTTCGAGCTCTGCTACGTTGTGTCTGCTTTTCCAGCACACAGAAAAATCTGCAATCATTGAAGGCTTCATGTTGTTAAAAAAAATTACCTCCTCCTCTTAAGGCTGCCAAGGGAAAACCAGAGAATGATCCTTCTTTAAATTTCTAATTAGGAGCAACCAACACTAAATCGTTTGTCATATTCAGTAAAGAGCAGAGATCTCATCTGAATAGCTGAACTGTTCGTGTCTTGCTTTAACTGATCACCTTGGATTTATGAAGTTTGGCATTGGCTCAATGATGCAAATTTTATGTGTTTTTTACTCTTAAAATTGTACACAAAATATTAATCATTATGTCCTTTCCTCTGGAAAAACTTTGGATAGTGGGTGTTTCATCTAGAAGGATTTCTACAAAAAATTACCCCAGCTAAATACGATGATGGAGTATGAAGGGGAAAAGTTATCTTAATAATACATCTGTAACTGCCTTTGTGGAGAGACAGAGATACAAATAACAAATAAAACTATGATATAAATACAATAAGAGATATTATTAAAACAAATATACAGATAGAAATAAGAAAACTGATATAACTAACTCAGAACGTGCTCTGTTTAAATTTATTTCCATGGAGGATTTTGTTCAATTGTAATTTATCTTCCAGTCTGAAGATAATAAAAAATCCAATTCACTGTTGCTAGGGGCATTATTATTTTATCTTAATTTGAAGAAAGCTTATTCTAATGCATTAAAACTTTTCTTCAAGCAAGGGGAAGCAGAGGCTAGCTCTGTAATTAGAATTGTTATCCTACAACAGGCTCATGACACTACTCTAAAAAAAAAAAAAGGAAAAGAAAAAATGAAATTTACTCTAAGACACTTACTCTTTCATTTCAGAGGAGTTTAAAATCTTGGCTTTACAGAAGAAAAGTAATATATTTTACAGTAATGTAGTACTCAGTATTGGTCACAAGGCTGTAATTCGTTCAGTATTTCTCAGCTACCTGGTTAACATTAAAATCCAAAACAACCTTTGATTTTAATTAAAAACCAATCAGCCTTTTTGAATGTCATTTGCCTTTGATCAGATAAGAAGCTTGCAGAAGTAAAATTACTGTGATTACTCAAAAAGCTAATCTCTAGGGGGCTGATTTGCCACCAGCCCCTCCGCAGCCTGCAGCAAGAGTTTCAGAAATTCATTTTTTCAGGTGGCTAATATTTCACTTGCTGTCAATTTCAATTCTTAGACCAATAAATCAAAACCACTTATTTCTTGAAATATTGAAAAGCAGGAAGCTAAAAGAGAATAGCTCATTTCTTGTGTAGAGAATGAATATTGGATTTGTGTAAGGTAGATAGACAGAGGACAAAACTGCTTGTGATCATGACAAACAAAGCTGGTCAGAAGGTGATATGCCAGGTCCTGAGAGTCCTTAACACACAGCACAAGCCACAGCATTTTGGACTACCCAGCTGCACAGTGAAATGTGGAGCAGCTCCTGCTGTGCATTCAGCAGCTTAATAACCTGTATCTGCAGGAGCTACTTAGTGGAAAAGCATCAGCTCCAGGGGCCTTCTGCTGTTTGCCATGTCCATGCCTTCCTCTAGGTTGTAGGAGCATCATTTCACTGGAATAAATTCATCTGCTTTCCAGAAAATCTCTTGGAATGGTCTTATCTCCAGCACTTTTTATATTACTCTGCTCTGATCCAGATACTTGGAGAAATGCCACCCACACAACTGTGAGCCAACTGGACCAACTGTGCATGGGAAATACTATTATCCATGGCTACACACGTATGATTAGCATAATGATGTGTGTCAAGTGTGATATAATTCAGCACAGGTGAAAATGTCTGCTCTGCATACTACACATACCCATTTATAGCATCTTTTCTTTCAAACTTATCCAGCTCTCATCTTAAATATACAGATTTGAATACACAGCACTTCTGACAGGATCAGCGGTCACCACAGATACGTATCACTAAAAGTGGAAGAAAAGTCTGGCTCCAAGTGAAAGAGAGGAGAGTCAGAGCTCTGCAAGAGCTGTGCCTGGGCAGACATCATTCTAGCTTGAGTGTCTACATAGAAGTGTCCTGTTTGTCATTTACAGCTTGTGACAGATGCAGGAAAGCTTATGAATGCTTCTGAATCCTGACTTGGTTTCATTCTTATTTCATCTGTTTGGATTCAGAATGTGTTATTCTAGAGCTAGAATCTTCTCTGGAAGCCTTATATTTTTCTTTTTCGGGATTGTGCTTACCTTAACATGTTTACCTGATAGTGGGTGCTCAGCTGATACTAAATGATCTGACATGTGCCAGGACAAAAGCCATCTCTTATCATCTCAGTCTGGATTCCTGTATGTCAAACTAAGATCCAGAAAGTCCTGCAGCACGTTTGAGTACTGGAGGAAAGCATTATACATCTCCATACTATTCTTTGCTGTTTTCTACGTATTTTTCTGCATATTTTTGTGTTGTTCCTGTGTTTCTTGTGACTCCCAAGATAGATGGGCCTCTATTCTGATGCAGTGTTGTTTCTCTTAGGTTGCTGTGGAACGTGAGTAGAAATAACATGCACACTCCTGAACCTCACTGTCGGCAGACAATATATAGTAGCATTTCCTGCCAATAATGGAATAGAATAGGGTAACAGTTCTTCCCAGTTCTTATTTTTTATCTCTCTTTTAAATCCTAGATGATTCACAGTTGCACCAAAAGTTTACTTGGGAACATAGCGCAGGGCCACTATTCCCCCACTCTCAATTGCAAGAAACTAGAGTGCCTCAGCAGAAACACAAACTTGGAATGAAAATCCCATTCCATCAAGTATTATCAATTATGTACATGTGGAGAACATTCCACATTTATTCCTGGATTGCTCTAGTAGCACATTTATCTTGAGTACACTTTCAAACACAGTAATTATTTTCCCAGAAATGGCAATAGTTGTTGAAGTTAAAACAGAAGTCAGTCCTTATCCAGACTTCATCCTCAGCCTCACAGTCACATTAAAGAAATTACTTAGGACATTATAATTCTTATGATGAGAGTGACATCATATTCGTATTACTGGCGTATAATCATGTGATTCTAGACACAATGAGAAATCTTTAATTCTGGACTAGATGCAATATTTTATTTATAAATTTAAGTAGAATTTTCAATCAGTGCCTTTTTATTTCACTTATTTTTCCTTTTTTTATGACACAAAAGGGAACCAGACAAAATCTACTCTTTACTGAAGTAGTAGCTGAAGAAAGAAGTTAACATTTCTCATTACCTCTGCTCAAAGCTACAACTACTTCATTTAAAAATATCATTTAAAAATAAAGCAGTATCAAAAAAAGAAAAAGGAAAAAGAAAAAAGACCATTAAATATAACAATGTATTTAGTCTTTCTTTTTGCAATTGCTCCAGGCTCAGCAATGCACAACATTCAGACTAATTTGAATATAATTGAAGCTTTCTCTTTTCAGTGCTTGTGTGCTGAAATTCTGAGCCTCTGGAGGTGAGCAGATACCTTGTGCCAACCTCTTTATGATTCTGACATACTGAGAAGTAAGCTTAATGCAAATAAAATGGCTTTCACCTCCCAGCATTTGAAAGGCATACAGGAATGTAACCTAGAGACTCTTGCTTCTCAGATCTGTGCTCAGAAAGAATAGAAAACATTTAAATTCATAACAAACTATTTGTGACAATCTTAAACAGTGTCTCATTTCAGAAAGTGCAGGCCTGAGTGCAAGGAAAACCATTTGTAACTGTCAATTAAAATAATCTACTGTAGACTTTTCTGGACGTTTTTTCTGCAAAGCTACTCTTTTTTTTTCATTTCCTTATATATTTTATGGCTCAGAACAACTGAATCTGTAGCTAACATATATTACACAGCTCATGGGATAAAAAATGATGGAGGAGGAACTATCATCCTGGATCACCTCTCAGCCTTTCGTATTCATGTCTGATGTAAGCTAATATAACTTCACAACAAAATGAATTCTCAAACCAGTGTAAAGTGACTTCATATTAGAAATAGGGTATACACCATCCTCCATTTGGGAAATCTAAAACACTGTGTCTTAGCTGCATTCAGAAATGAAAACCAGTGAGTTTCTATCAGTTTACTTAGATTGGAAGAAAATAGAGTGATGGCAGATTATCCAAGGTAAGTAGAAACAGATGGAAAATCCTGCTTACCCGAGCACTGTGTACACTACACGTTGGCTGGCTACACTCTTGGGTTTACAGGATTTAAATCAGACCAGAATTTGGCCCTCATCGTATTCAACGTGCAGTTCTGGAAAAGTGTTCAAAAGAATTTAGTTGGTAATCATGAAGGCTCTGTCATTTTGCAAGATGTAAGTTGCAGGCTGAAAAAAATAAATATTGTTAAGCAGCAAAATTGCAGTGTTATTTCTTGTTGAATTTGGAGTTATGCTAGAAGCTATAGAAAATATTCAGCTATAGTGCTGTGTATATTTACTGAATATGGAATATACCACTGGAACAGCAGCTCTTGATCCTGCAAAGTTATCTTCCATAGGTACTGAGCTACAGGCAGATACATCTAATATCAAATGTTTCAGTGTCTTCTATTTTATTGCTTCTATGTAGTAAGCTATTTTGATGACTGAATGTCTATATGGTTATTTTAAAATGTAGAAAACTAAAGAGTATTTTAAATGCAGTTTATCAACATTAAAGTGCTTAGTTATGGTTAAAACACTTCAGATACTTGTGCTGCAGTGACCCAAGCTCTGCTTGGACTCAGAGTCCTACAGCAAACAAAGAAAGTTTGGCCATGGAATTGTACTGCCACATTGGAGAAATGTGTGCCTTTTGAGCAAATCATGAACTTGCCTTGAACAGAACTACTTCTGAGAGCTATCCTAGAGCATGCTGCAACTGCTTCTCTGATCTGAAATCTCAGCTGTATTTCCTTCTTCCAGGTATTCCTTTCAAGATGAAGAAGACATGTTCATGGTGGTTGATCTCTTGCTTGGAGGAGACCTGAGGTACCATTTGCAGCAGAATGTTCACTTTAATGAAGGAACCGTCAAACTGTACATCTGTGAGCTGGCACTTTCCCTGGATTATTTGCAGAGATACCACATCATTCACAGGTGAGAGAATTTCATTTCAGGGATGGGTTGTTTTCTGTTTGCAAACCAAAGGAATTTTATCACGTATCAGATTACATCTAAATACATCACCTAACATCCTTCTGGCTGCTTTTAATTTCATTTTGATTCTCTGGATCCTCAGCTCTCCTGAACACAAAAAAGTTGTAAATTCAGGGCAACACCTTCACACAACAATGTGAGGGAAAGGTCAGAACATCAAGTGCTAGGAATTAGTGACTTTTTTTGCTTGCAGAATCTGCACTAGGTTGATGAGGGGTAGGAAAGGTGGAGAAATAAGAGAAATAGTAGAAATGAATTGGATCAGGAATAGGTGTTGTGTCCTTTTTGCATTTCTTTAATTACAACAACCTATTATTTTTATTGCTGAATGGATGGCAATCATAATATTTATGTCAGAAAGTGTGTCATGTATTGAGGCCTGTTTGTTTTCTATCTGTTTACATGAGACAGTGGGGTAAATTCTTTTCTGTATTAGTGTAGCAACTGTGAAGTTTTGTTTGGCTCAATCCTCTGTTTTATCCTTTTATGCTAAATTCAGGATATTTCTCCTTGGTTTGCACTGGCTTAAACAGAAAAATTGTTTTATTGCATTGCCAAAGCTGGATGTGAGATTCAGAGAGCAAGCGGAACTGAACTGTGCCATAGATCTTTTAGTGACAAGTACAAACAAATTTCTTCAAATGCTTTAATTGATATTCTTCATCCTATCTGCTCACAGAGCTGCCTCATGATTTTATAATAAAGTGATAATAAAAAGTGTGATCTGACTATTGAAGAGGGAGTGTCAGTACAAATTTCTCAAACCTGAGGGACAGTGGTAGATGTGTCCTCTGTAAACAAAACTGTACAAAACAAAATCCAAGAAAGCATTGCAACAATTTTTTTGCTTGAAATAAAAAGCATACAAATGTTGCAAGCATTATTGTGCATTTCTATGTATTCTGTATACAGGTTCCTTTACCACTGAATAATTTAAAAGTTAGGCTCGGAATTTCAGTTGACCTTTGTTTCTATGACTTGGAGAATGTTCTTGGTGAAAAACAAATTGATGAGCACTTTTCTCACCTTCATTTTAATGAGACAGTTTATGTAGATAGGCTTTCAAACATTAGGCAAAGAATTTGTAATTAAAACTCGTATTTTATTACAAGCCTGGGACTTAAATATGTTTCACAGAATGGTCTTTGAAAGTTGGTGGATGTCTTGAGGGAATGAAGGGTTAAATTTAAGTCAATGTGTCTGTAGTTTTTTTCTTACATAACATGCATTGCCATGATTCAACTGAGGAATTGGGCAAGACTGTTCTGTTCTTTTCTGCGTTAATTTATCATGGCTGGTAAACAATTTTACTGAATTTCCTGTTTTGCACTCATTGTAGTGCAGTGTAACATCACTGACTTTAAAACCAGCTGTTGATTTGCACCCAGGAAGGCAGGAGGAGTGAGGATCCTAGCTGGAACTGTTTGTGGGCATTTGGTGTCAATTTCCAAAGATGAGGTTTTGCGTTCACTTTTTGTTGGCAATTTTTACAACATGAGACACATTAAAATAACTGGTTTATATGCTGTGGTGGTTCTCACTGGCTATTTTGTTAGGACTGTTGTTTAGGATGTGAAGGATCTGACTCTCCCATTCCACTGTGCTACTGGGGAGAAACTGAGACCTGAACATGGCACTTGCACTTCACTGCTTTCTGCCCATACCACCCAACTATGGTACAAGGAGCATTTTGGCTCTCACCTTCCCACCATGTCCCAGAACACCTCAGATGATCCATGTATCAGTGAAGGAATTATTACCTCAGGAATATCCATCATGTGCCACTGTCCCCCTGGCTTCAGCTATGGCAGGTCTTCAGCTGCTACAGACCACTCCAACAGGACTGGCACCTCTGATTTCAGTTGGCTAAGGAGCTGAGCAAACAATATTGCCATATGGAAACATGTTGATGTTGCTTTACAAACACCCAAACTCAATCACAGATTAAACCAACAAGCTTGCTGGCATTTATGTTCAGTGGAAGCAGACATCAGCATTGTCAGTATGACAAAGTCCTTCTAGTCAGCATTCAGGAGTTAACCTATGAAACTGTATTGGATCTTTCACTTTTAAATGAGCGTGTTAGTAGCAACAACAACAATAAAAAAAAAGTGAGTCACAGAGTCACTGAGAGAGCCCACTACTAAATTTTGTCTGTGCTACAAAGAGTGGTTGAATGATTCATCAGACTGGGTAGGTGGATTTTCAAATCATGACATTACAAAGAGCTGAATATATGATGTGTGAGTCAGGAACTAAACTTCTCAATATTTACAGATGTGTGTGAAATGTGTACAAGTTTCCATTACTATTGTATCCAGAAAAGTGACAGAAGGTATTTTTAAGGATTAGCCTACAGCCCCAGGAATTTACTAGAAAAGGAGGTGAAAGTGAGGGAGACAGGAGCTATAAGGCACGTGTGAATGGATGTATGAGTGTCTAGGTAGGTGCTATGCCAGTTCCCTTGAGAGTTAACATGTATGCCTCCGCACTAGCTGAGGCAGTTTGTTACGTGTATTTTGAATGCAGCAATTATTTCAGGAATACAAGTATTGTTTCTGCAGAGATGACTTTAAACATTAATTGTGCAAAAGCCATTATTCTTCAGTTTTTTTTCAATGAAAATTGCAAATTAATTGCATATTTGTATATAAATCCATATTTGCCAAGTAAAATCCTGCAACCATGATTTTATTTGTTATGTCACAAAAGAAAATGCTGCATTGCGTGTCTCTCTTGCAGCTTTGTTGTAAATATTTACAATTACATAGATGTTCAACCAGAATTATAAGCACTTTAAAAAAAGAACGTGATAAGTTTCAAGTTATGATCTGAAGATTACTCTGGCAAATTTTTCACTTAACACTAAATTAATATTGAGACATCTCTATTAGATACTGGTAAAACTGCATCACAGACTTATATTTCTCACAGCTTTGCTAGAATGATGTTTTTTCCACGTTTTTAAAATTTAAAACAAATCATTAAAAACCTGGATGAACAGTGTTTCTTATGGACCTTTGGATCCAGTGCACACAGAATGGCTTCCGACAGTTCACGTAGTCTCACTTGCTCTCAGATGTTGGATCAAATCTGGCACTCTGCATGAGCTGACATCAAGTTTCAGGACTGTACATCTGAATGTATTCTTTCCCGTGCTGCCTGTATAATATCAGTGAATAATATATTGGACAGAAGTTTTCCCATCAAAGCCTGAATGAACTTATTTCAGACTTGAGTAACTCAGCCTCCTCCTTTCACAAATGTTTCTGTTCATAAATTTCAATAAAACCACCTGCTTCCTCACTGAAGTAGGCTGCACAATTTCATTCAGTTATTTCTTCCACCAGTGGCAGTTGTGTCTCCTAGGATGCTCTTGCAGCCAGAGCCTTAGCTCAGAGCAGCACAGCTCCTGCTGCCCAAGTAATGCACCCATACTGATCACATCAGGTTTTCTCTTTCCAAGTGGGCAAGTGTTAACTGCATTGCCCTTGCAACTCTACATCACTGCTTGTTTCCTTTAGTTTCATCTGGTCAGAAAGGAAGCTGGCTGTAGCAAGTGTCTGGAAAGGAAATTGCAGTAACTTTACATCACCATTTTGACATACTGGACTCTATGTTTGATCTGCATACCCAGTTTGTTGGCTTTTTTTATTTCAGTAATTTTTTAAAAATGTAAAATAATTTGTGTTTGTATACATAACGTAAGTATACAACTAAATCTTAGGTTGAAACACAGAATTGGTTCACGTAGTTCAGACAGAAAATAATGGAACATGGTGACAAATGGAGGATTATGTGCCATTCTACCAAGCATCCTGCTGCAAAGTAAGGGAGTTTTGCTGCTACAGGCGAGGCCAGATGTACTGTCCTGTGCAACACTACTAAGCTGTGTTGTAGTGTAGGAACTTCATGTTCATCACCAGTGTGTCCTTCAAGGTGTCCAGCAGTCTGGTGAAATAGGGTAATACATCCAAATGAATGATGAAAGCCTCTCTCTTTCATAGTGTAGTCTTTCACTCACAAGACTACTCTCCAGAAGTAAAAACTCTAATTTTAAATGTTCCTTTCATAAACTGTCCATTTAGCATGTAAGAAGTAAATAAGCTTTCGAAATGATTTGAAAACAAAGACTTCTTGCTTTGTTGATTTTTGCAGATGTTACAGATAGAATGGTGTCAATCTGGGGCTTATCAGGACAAGTTTTTTACTAGGACATAGTTTCTTACAAATTTCAGTTCATATTTCTAATCACTTTTATTAAGAAGAGTAGGCAGTAGATTCTGAAGTAGACAAACTGGAAAAAACAAACCAACAATCGTACTGTGACTATTATTCATACATACTCCCAAGGATCATGACGAGTCAAGAGGTCTGTTCACTGATTTTTTTTTCATCTGTTTCCCCAAGTCTCTTCCATTTCTTTGTCTTATGTTCTTTAAACAAGTGCAAGCCCACATTATTTTCAAGGACAAATTGCAGAAACTGCACGAGAAGTTATGTAAAGAGAAGCAAATTAGAAAGGATATCAAAACCAGCTAAAACAAATGCTATGCAAATACAAAGCACAGAAAATCTGCTGAATGCTTATGAGCTAGCACTGATCAAAAAGAAAGACACTTACAAATTCTGTGCACAAAAGGTATTTGAATTTTAGTTGAGTCATTAAAAAAAGAATTAGATACCACCAGATATGAATAAGCAAAGGACAAGCCTTTCAACTGTAGAATGGAGTTATTTACCTATGAGAACAAATTACTGTTACAAGTTTGGCAAGAGTAAAAGAAAAATTACTGGATAGATGACACAGTATAATGCAAACAAATGAAGCTGATCTGAAAACACAGTGAAATTTCAATATCCATAGACTGGATGACTAATGAAGAATGCCTGTATATAAAACAGCTGAGATGTGTGGTGCCCCACCAAGTGATCCAGTC